AATGTCTCGCTTACCATTCTTTGGGTGTTCCCTGTTTCCTTTTGAATAGAATACAGACTCCCTCTCATGCTTACATGACCCAGATCGAAACCCAGCTGAACTGTCTACCTCATCTCTTTTGCCTCAACATTTTAGACACACACATACTCACAATGTAGCAAATACCAAAAGTGTCCGACTACTTAATTTCTTCATTGAATATGTGGCATTTCCATCTTGTCAGACTTTTTCTTTTTTCTGCCCTTTCTAGTTCTGCCTTTCCTTTCAAAAATTTGTCTTAAAGTGATAGCATTTATTAACTTACTTGTCTGTCTTATAGTGTCTTTTATTCTAGATTACCAGTATCTAGGACAGTGACTGGCCCAATTAAGCAATGCAATATATATTTCTGAAATGAACGAAGAGAATGAAAGAATGAATGAAAGGTATGTGTAGGAGAAAGAGTGACAATGGACTGCGTTGTTATTTCAGTTGGAATGACGTTCTCAGTGAGATAGTTACCAACATTTTATTCAAAGAAAGTGATTCTATTCCCCAAGAGTGAGAGCATATTTAGACTAGTTCTGTGGGTTTGAGAAAGCAAAATTAGTGCAGCACCTATATGAGACACTAGATAACCTTGTTTCACCTACCCTAGTGGCCATTGCTGCCATTGCTGTAGTCATAGATCTTAATATACTGTTGTCACACCATGGCCTCCATGGGATAGACAGAAAGGAGGAGCACCTACATTTACTCTGCCCAGACTGCACCCAGGAAGTCTCTGGATTTCCCACTGTCTGTCCCAGCCGCCCTGGGATCACTGCCAAGCATCGTATAGCGCCACTCCAACCAAAGGGAAAGCCACTGGGGCCCTCCCTGGTGACGCAGTGTGTTAGGTCGCAACACTGCAAGCTCCCAGAGCCGCTTCAGTGTGAGTTCAATCCCTGGCCCCACAGGTGACCCACATGGCGTGGCAGACCTCTCCTGTCTCACCTGCTGCTCCCCTCAGCAGTGTACTTCACGGTTCTGCCTGTTCTGCTCCCCACTTTGTCTCTGGTGAATCCTCTCACCACCCCTGCATTTCTGGCCTGTACCCCAGTTCTGTATAAATAAATAAATAAATAAATCTTAAAAAAAAAAGAACAAAGGGGAAAGCCAGCAGGCAAGTTGCTCACCCTTTCTGCTCCTCTACTACAGTGTCTATTCTGAGCTGCAGTGTTTTTCTGTAGCCTCTCTGGGTATGCGCCCCAATAATGCGTCCCGATAATGTGCCCTTGGTATTTGCTGTCCATCTTTCTTTATTCCCTTACTCTTGTGTCTCTGAGAGTGTACCATCCAATAAAGTGTTACCACAGTGTGTTCCTTGAGTTCAGTTTCTAGAAAACCTGGGTTAAAAAAGTAATTTTAGAAATTTTTGAGTGGTATTATAGACTGCACTATTAGAAACACAAATTAAATAAAACATTTTTTTTAAAGAAAACATTTATTTTTGTTAGGTTGTGCTTTGATACTGGGAAAAGTAGCCATAGAGGAGAGTTACTGAAGGAGAATGGAGAGTCAAGAGGAAATGGAACATGAAATCATTCAACAAAGAACTAGCAATTTTCCTGGTGGAGCAGCGACAGGAGATAATCAGAAACACATGGCTATGGCTAGAATCAATGTATTCCCCAAACAACAAAATCTGCCCTTAAAGGAGCATCTACTAAGAAGATTTTCTTCCATTGTGTTTAGAAGTTAATGTGCTTCCAGTATTGTGAAATATTGAAAGTGTTGGATTTCACAAAAAATAAATAGACTATAGAGTGACCTACTTCAGTGAAGACAAGTATAACTGTCTACAGTTTATATAATAAGCTGAAGTAATTTGAAGACATGGCACATTATCAACCAAAATTCAAATAACTTATCTTGGGAGAAAACCAGAAGTGACAATAATACATCTGCTCAGCAAGGGCTTTTGGAAAGTTCAAATGGAAAAAAGAATTAAATTTTGGCCAAAAAGAGGGAGACAACTTCCTCACTGGAGAAAGCTGGCATAATACTATATATGATCTCAGTCTGTACTGAAACAGTTTTAGACATTGAACCAGATCTTGATTGTAAAGGTGTAGAAGCCACAGCCACCCATCTTGAAATCCACGCTACTGTAGAACCATCTATTGCTAAGCTGATAAAACACAACAGGTCTTCTCTTAGAAACAACTGCAACCAAGAAGTGTAGGAAATAGTCATTACTTATTCATGAAAGTATGGAAACTAAGATTCAAGAAATATTTCTTTAGTAGACTTGAGTTTCTGAATGTTTTCCCTGCAGACTCTGCACCATTCCTTGAAATATTTTTTCAAATGCCCTCAGGTGAATTATTTAAGATATTTTCCTCTTTAAGTTTTATAAAGCCAGACCCAGTGTATATTTCCTGAAGAGGCAATTACTTTAATATTTGCACATTCTCTTTTTTAAATGCATTTTTTTTCATGTTTCTTAGTCTCTTGGGTTTATTTTCTGGGAGGGGAGGTGTTTGGTCTGGATATTTGAAGGGGATCATGATTTTCCACAGACATATATGCGTAATAATTTGAATAAAATGCCTAGGTTTGGTAAACAACTTTTGATTCAAATACTGGAATCCATGGGTTCTAGAACATATCAGCCATAGGTCAAAATCACCTATATTAAGTAACTTCAAAATTCAGATAAGGATGGATGGATACCAGTAAAGGAAAGTCCTAGGAATGTGAATATTTTAGTTTGTTAATAATAAAACACAAACTTATAAGCAGAAACAGTGCTGTTTCTATTAAATGCCTAAAAACCAGACTTCAGATTTTAAGACAAATCTGTGTGGTATCTCATCATTTTATTTTTCATGAATTGTATAGGTTATTGTTTTTATGCATTGGTCTCAAAGACATTCAACTTCAGTTACTTGAAAGAATACTTAATCTGTATTATATATTATACACATATTACAAGAAATAAATTATAACTGACTTTAACTTCCACGTGGTATTTTCTAGTTTCCTTTCTACTTTGATTTAAAAAAAAAAAAAAGCTCTGTATCAATGACTTGTACAAGTTAAAAATAAAGAAACATGGTAAACATTCAGAAATTCAACTTTTTCATTCACTGGGCTCCTACACTATAATTGTGAATTTAAAATTTTGCTTACAGTTAAAATAGTTAAGACTGTGAATAATTTGGGGGAAATCATGTGTTTGGCATTTTTGAGAAGAAAATTCTAGAATGAATGTTTTACCCAAGCAGCCAATAAGTTTCAGATGGTTTATAAGTAGCAGGCGAGCCAAATCTGAAATGGAATTTTCTGTGACAGCCTACAAGTAACAGCTAACATATGCTAGTTATAGGGAAAAGCAGGAGTCATATAAAGTTAAGGAGTGAAAAAACTATACATTAATGAATAAAAACCTCTTTGTCCAGAATGCCTAGCAGAAAATTTAAGTATTTAAAGGGCAAAACCATCTCGACTATTTTGAAAGAAATTATACCATTAATATTAAAAACAAACAAGAGACTTTCCAAGTCGCAGTTTACATTCACCATACAAGACCTACTCAACACAAAAAAGCCCCAGTGCAAATAAAAGTTAATGTTAGTATAAATGAACAAAACTACACATTCTTCAGTTACTTTGCAGCATTTAACAACTGATTTACACTTACAGTTGAGGTTCCACTCAGCAATGTGTTCAATTGCATTACCTGTTGTTCTTGGTCTTGGTCGTAAGACAGTTGTTGGTTAAGGTGTTCGTTGACATTGTCGATAACAAAAGAAGTCACGACAAAGTTTTTAATTTTTTTGTTATCACCTAACATTATTTTATATTTCAATAAGTTCTTACAAGTATGATTCCATAAATGGTGATTAGAGATTTGAATTTACTTCAGTAAATTTAGAGCATCAGTTTACAGGAAAAACCAGGTAGAAGTTCGTGTCCATGTCATACGTTCATCCTGTGGCCTGTCCACAATTTTAAATGGGAATCACATTTGTAAAATGTGGACAATTACAGTACCTCATCTACCTCCCAGGATTATTATTATCAGAAAGGCAATACATGAGTGTTTTAAAAACTAGATGATAGCAGCGATGAAAGTGTTGACAGTAACACTAGCAAGCATTTATCTACAGAAAATTCTGGTCCATTCATAACCATGGGATCCACCTAAGTCAACCACAGCTATCTTATTATACTACTTACAGCATAGAAATCGAGTCTTTTCTATCAGGAATATTTGCAATTTTTCTTTTCATTTCTTGGACTATTTTAAAGATCATCATTTCACTGACAGGCATGAACTGTGTTGTATTAAAACAGAAGTTCTGTGGGGTTTTGTTTTGTGGTTTCCCCAACACATGACAAATGAGATTAGTAAAGTTAATTAGACTAGTATAAGTACAAGTCAATCTAGAATTCCCTAGTTCTATAAGCAATACAATAGTGTGTCGATTTTTTAAAGAAATCTATTGTTAACCACTTAAACGTTTCGATATAAGTATATTGCTTTGGAATGTGCTCACCAATGAAAAACTGATTCAACTAATTAGAAAACAGAATTTCAGAGTATCTTTAAGTCTTGAATACTCTATGGGCCCTTACACTGACTGTCTTGAAAAAGGAAACAATGTCTATCAATTTTATGAATATCTGTTTGGTGGTCCTGAACTTCAGATCTTTAGACCATTTAAAATACTAATATTTTATATAGAATTCACACGACTCCCACCACCTCCAACCTTTCTAGTTCATTCAGCTGAAATGAAGTAAAGACCTAAGAGATAAAACCATGACCAGGATTTTCTGGAAGTAAATGTAAGAAGTGGAAGCTAACATGTGTTTCACTGTCAAAAGGTCATTCTGGGCTGTGTATACTCTGGATCCCTTTCAGACCTCATGGAAGTTAATTTTAGTTTTACAGAAAGGACAGAGAGAGAAGCAGACCGCAGACTGCTCTCTTTGCAGAAAATGTCAAGGTTAATCTGGGACCATCTTACCTTTCTCATTTCCTGTGCATTACCGGTGAGAAGGAAGCACTGTTTGTCCAGCGGGAATCCTTTTTGGCATCCTCCTGTCTGGGTTTCGGTGGGTGTGTTGGGGGCACCCCCAGGGACAGCAACTGTGAGCTTCCTCGTCCCTCGGAGTGTCAGGGTCTGGTAGAATAGACAGATCGCCACCACCAAGCCCACCAAAAAGGGCCGGGGGCAAAATCGCCGACGACAGAGAAACACTGGACGACCGACCATGACCAAGTTCAGCTCAGCTTGGCCCCTGTCCACGTTGCCAAAAAAGTCATAGCGGCTCTTTTTTTTTTAGCATGAAGAACACCCATCTGGCGTCTTTTTTCCACATCTTTTTCTTAAGTCAAGAGTGCTCCATCCCCACTGGAGAACTTTCCAAAGGTTCATGCCAAAGAATCATAGGTCCTCAAAGTCTGAGAAGGTTAGGAAGAGCCCTTCCGTGGGTGACAGTAAGCAGTGGCTGGCCTAGGTTTTAAAAAGACGTCAAAATAGTCATAGTTGTAACTAATAACCTGAGCGTGTCCCCAGACTGCCAAACTGTTGCTTCCGGTAATGCCTCATTTCCACAACACCCTTTAAAGGCTCAGTCAGGGCTTCCCGGGAAAAGAACAAACAACACCAAAGTCGCTCTGGAGCCTGAAAACGGCTTTGGTGAACGCAAGAGGTTAAACCCCAAAGCCTGGTGCACAGCTGGCTGCAGGCCAGTTTGCCTCAGCCGTCACTCAGTTTTCCTCCCACTTTACAGCGGTCCTGCTTTCAGCCTTTGATGATTCTTAACTGTGCTTCCCTTCATTCAGTTTTAAATTGCCACTTTCCTGTAAGCATTCATGCCTTTTAACATGAAAAGGGGGAATAAATGGACGTGGTTACTATTAGGGGTTCGCTTGCATTTGCTTCATTCTGTTTCAAGTTCAAAGTTCTATGTACTTACTCAGTTTTCATCCTTTCAGCCAGAAAAAAAGTTTCCATCATCCCCTAATGGATTGTTGATCAAAACCACTCGGAAGGAAACACCCGGGCGTATGACTCCAATTCATCTCCCACACCCCGACACACGCGCGCGGACACGCGCCGCTGGCACCCCCGCGCGCGGCACCCCGGCGGGACTGGGGGCGCGGGCTTGCAGCCTCACCAGCCCGGGCAGGGGCGGAGCTAAGGCCGGACTCCGACCCTCGCCCGCCGCGGGGTGACGCTGTGTGCTCCCGAGCCCAACACGGGCTTGCACCAACTGGAAACATATCTCGCTCCCCCCGAAATGGGGTGCCTACCCAGAGCAGCAGGATTTTTAATGCATTTGATGTCTGGTCCCTTCGGCAGTTTCTTTTTCCTAAACGAGCATTGGGAAAACAAGCAGCCAAGGTCGAGGGTGAGAGAGTGAGAGGGTGAGAGGGTAAGAGGGTGAGAGGGCGAGAGGGTGAAAGGGAAGCGGACGCCGCGCGTCCAAAGGACGGTTCTTTACTCCCGGGAATCGTGGTTACTCTTAGGGGACAAGAGCGTCAGACCTCAGCACGTGAAGGTCTGTTGTAGAACGAAGATGGCTGCAAGTAAGGTTTCTGCTCGGTCCCCCTGAACTCTCATCAAGTTGCCGTTATTACTCCTTTGGACCAGTGACTGCGTCTTTCAAAACCTAATTGCCTGACCCGCTCCCAGATGATTATAGCAGGTGTTTGGAGGAACAGTTGCTCCGCAGAAAGGTGTACACAGCAGGCTTTGCCCAGAATTCGTCTCAACCTAATGTCCCACAAGGAACTCCTAGTAGGGCAGTCTTCACTCTGCATCCACGTTTGCTGAGTCAGTGGAGAGGATGCCAAGAAGAAAGAAAGGCAATGTCATTCCCTCACCCAGTCCTTGTTGTGTGAACTCAGGATAACTGGGACTGGCGCAGGCCGACAGCTGACAATTCAAAGTTACTGAACTTAAATGGGCTTAAGGAACTGTTTCCAGACCTAACGCATTTCTTGTGGACCCCGGTTCTTCCATGAGGTCACACCCCTAGAGTGGTGCCATCCCGGAAAACGCTTTCGATACTAAAATTTTGTGAGATTGAGCGCCCCCTAGGGGTACCCGTATGTTTGGACTCAGTGAAGTAGCGATCTGTAATTTCTTGTTAAACAATTTTAATACCAACTTGAATAATCAGAACGTTTCAAGAACACACCGAAATCATATTTATCCCAATTCTTTCTATGTGTCTTCCCCAGTGTATTTAACAAAATTTGATGCATCGATCCAGAATCTACAAGCCATGACAAATGAAGAGACATTTGAATTTTAAAGGATGGGCCTGGTGGCGCAACCGGTTAAAGCTCAGCACCACGAAGCCCCAACCGCTTCAGCTCGACTTTGAATTCGATCCCCGGCAAGGGAGGTGACCTACATGGTGCAGCAAACCGCTTCTGACCCCCCTGCTGCTCCTCTCAGCAGTGTATTTCGTCTATCTGCCTTTTCTGCTCCCCACTCTGTCTCTGATGAGATCTTCTCACTCCCTTTACCTCTGGCCTGTACCCCAAATCTGTATGTACAAATAAATAAATCTTTTTTTTAATGCAACTATTTACAAAAAAGAATTTTAAAGGATAAATTTTAAAAGCAAAAGGGCTATGCAATAGTATTAGAGGATACAGTTTGGGTGGGTACAACGTTATTTGAGAGAAATTTGGAGTTATGAGATCTCTAGATTGGAATTGCCTCAGTGTTGAGGATCCAGAGTGCGACAAAGTCGTTTACCAGGTGAAAAAGAGTGATTTCTATAAAGGCAAAGCCATAAAATCTCAAAAACTGAGACTCTGCAGTATCTGGCCATTTTTATACATCATTAAATTGATAAGTGCAGGATACAAAAGAAAAGTTTAAATTGTATGCTAAAATCACATTGCCTTTGGACTGAGAGATGTGAAAGGCAACAGCATAGATGATTTCAGACCTAGGCTTCAAATAACAGGAATCAGAAAAGTGGAAATTAGCATTCTTGAAATGATACTGGTGGATTGAAAAACCCAGTCTCTCATTTAGTCCTGGGGAGTATGAGAAGACCACAAACAAAGGAATATTTTAAAAAGGGGGAGGGGGTGAAAAAAAGGGGGAGAGGGAGAAAGGGCTTTAGGGGTTAAGTAGGAAGCTGGAAAAGATACAGCAGGAGTGATCAAATGACGTGCTTCACAGATAACTGCTGATATTAGAGTTAACCAACTAGGTGGAATTGTGCTGCTACTTTTAAATAAGTGACTTGTGAAATTAAGGTGTTAATGCCTCCTCTGAAGTATTGCTGGCATGGCTAAGTGAAATTATCTGTATCTAAGTTTGCTGTGCACATTTTAGGGTGAACACATGTGGAATGCATGTCTCACGTTTGGATCCTGGGTGTGGTGTCAGGCACATAAAGGGTAATGATCAAAAAGGGGCGTCATGTATACAGAAGCCCCCAAAGCAAGCAAGGACACTGTGCTTTGTCCTCTTCATGCTGAGATAGTGGTGGGTGGAAGAGGCTATCTTGGGGAATTGAGGGAAATAATGGGATCACAGGGTGTAGCAGGGGGACAAAAGTGGGAGTCACTTGTACCTGAGTAGCCATGGAAGGTGGTAGCAATTGTTGAGAGGAGGAAGATGTGACAGTAGGGAGCAGTGAGGTTCACTAAGGGGGGGTGGTAGGATAAAGATGCAGATTTAAGAAACTGGACTCTGGAAATGTTTCAGACTATATTGGGGGCGGGGGATATACTTCTTGAAGCAAACCTTTCACAGAACCATTTCTATATTTGAGCAGCATCAACCTGGCACACTGAGTGACAGACCTTTCCAACACAAAACAAACTCATACTTGGTTCATCCTTCATTTGGCTTTTGGTGTGGAGTAGGAGAGAAGAGAGAGGAATTCAAGAATCATTTCAAGAAGACAATTTTCGAATTGTTTTCGTAAGTTGTGGTAGCCCCGTAGTCCTCCCACTGCCATGGCACCCGCGATCCACACATGTTCCCCTAAGTTCTTCCCTCCTGTTTGACCCTCTTCCCTCTGCCTCTTTTGCTATATGCGTCAGACCTATAATCTTACTGTTAACATTTTCTTGACTTTTGTTTATCTATATTCTGCAAAGAAATGAGATCATCGGTATTTATCTTTTTCTTAAAAAAAATCTTAAAATCTTATTTTGTTAAGTAGAAGAATAACAATAATCACAAGACAGAAAATTCCAGTGTTGGATCAGAAACTCTGGGAAAGTACCTTACCCCTGAGTCTCAGCATCTTCCTAAAGTAGGGAGGGTCTTCAGTGATTACTAGAAAACCTGGAAGATTATTTGAGGGTCTAAAATTATGCTCCCAGGGATATGTCTTGACACAGATTTCCCTTTCTATTGCAACTCAGTAAGATGAGGAAAACTTCAGTCTGGGCCCTCTAAGTTTCTTGCAAGGGAAAACCTTTCTTTTTTAAGGGCTCCAGAGCATGATGCTCCAAAAGTCAGATGTAGCTACAGCTGGAATGTCCAGCACTGTCACAGGGTGATGGGCACTTACCTGCCAGAACCTCCTCCCAGGGGAGTTTGACATCAGCACCACCATCATCACCATCATTATCATCACCACCACCACCACCACCATTACCATAATCATTATGAGCTCCTACCAACTCTAATGCTCACTTGGACTTTATCATTGGCTCTGAACCTAGCGGAATGCTTTTAAGTCCTGAATCAGCTATTGACTATTATGTATTGTGAAAAACAGAAGACACAATACTTATAAATGACTAGAAAATAATAAACACACTGATGAACTGGTCAGGATAGGGTAACTACTATATCCACCTTAAAATCTCAGTGACTTGATAGAACAAAAACCAGTTTCCCACTCAGATCACTTCCCAGACTTTGTTGGTTTATCATTAGGACACTCATATGCAAGGTACTAGTAAGTAGTACTTCCTTGCTTTACAGTAGTGGAGATCTACTGGGCCCCAGGGAAAGTCATTAGCAAATGATGAATGAGAAAAGGCATAATGGATTGTGCGGGAGGTCTTAAGAGCTAAGCATTAAGGTGAAGTATCCTCTAACTCCCATTCTATTGGCTGAGCCTGTAGGTACTTGGCCCACTAAATGGAAATTGAGCTGGGAAATGAGGTTAGCTACATGCTCAGGAGGTAAAAGAAGGGAACCTGACAACACAGCAGAATCAGTCACAATTCTGTTGGAGATTAGCACCATAAAGAGACAAAATAGGTAGTCCACATCTTTGGGCTGCTGCTAAGGGAAGCTGTAAATTGCCATTTCTCAACTGAACCCTGAAAAGTTATAAAGACTCAACAGCCACAGAAAGTTTGAAAACATAGTGTTTATGTCTTAGTGGAAAACTATTAAGGGTAAAGCTTGTTCAGATTAAGGATGGCTATAACTTCCAAGTTAAAGATTTTACTCTTTATCTGTAGACGACAGGGATCCAAGAAGTTTCTTGCCCAGCAGATTTATTAATAAAGATGCCGTGTTAACAGTCAGAGGCAGATGACTATTATTTACAATTATCTCAAGATACTGTTATAGCACCACTAACTTCAATTGCAAACTCATAAAACAAAATTTATTTAGTTTTTTTAGGTTGAATAAAGACAATAAGAGTCAAGTTTATGTCGTTACTCTCAATGGTGCAAAATATATGCAAGATTTAACAGAAAAGTTTTATGGGCCATGTCAGATTCTTATCTTAGAAGGAAGATGCTATATTCATTTAAGGTGAACTCAAATATACGTGGTTATTACCCCACGGTTATATAAACCCAGGCCATTAAACTATATCAGGTTCAGGATCACAAGTCCTTCACCTGTAGTTAGAAGTTCACATCTGCCGCTCACTGCAATGACATACTGAAAGTTCAGTTGCCAGTCAGGTTCACAGATGGCTTTTGATGTGCTGGAGGAGAGTGAACAGAAATACTAAAACAGTCTGCAATTTTTCTGTAACCTCTAAAGCAATTTAAACTTGCTTAATTTTCTGTCAACTCAATTATATTACTCCTTTTAGAAACAACTCCCATAGTTGCAGTCACCTTGTACACATTTATAGATTCTGATTTAAGAATGGAACCGTTTGTGGCGCTTTCCATGTATTTCTGAAAAATGAAAATTCTGGAGACCAGACTTTTCACCAGTAGGGAGTCAGGGTGGAGAGGAATATTACTGACAGTGTGTAGGCTCCAGGGAGGCAACTAAAATGGCACGATGCCAGGAGGGCACCTGAGCTACGCAGGTCCACTTAGATGTGGATTTTTTTCAGTACATATGGTGGGTCCTATATACCCTCAGGGTCCTCACTCATGGACTCAACCACCTGCAGAAGTCACTTGGCCGAACCTCTGGTTGTGGAACCCTCAGACTATGAGGATGGATAAGGAATTTGAATATCAAGGCTTTTGGTGTCTGAGGGGGTCCTGAAACCAATCTCTTGCTTGGACAGACTACAGCTTTTCTGGAGGCAACAGATATATGCAGATTTTTACCTGCACCGTGGTCAGAGCACACTTCCTGTGTTGTTCAAGGGTACTGTGCACTACTTCTTTTTACTTTCTTTAGGACCCAAATTTACACTTTAGCATATAGCCAGAAGTTTGTATCAGTCACTATGTAAAGTAAGGACAAGTTTGTATCAGTCACTATGTAAAGTAAGGACAAGTTTGGTTTTTATTTATTATATCATAGTTTCAGATTGTGTCCTTGAGCTCAGTTACCAGTTTGAATTTCTCTGTACATCCGCATATCCCTTGGGAACAATAATAAATTGTCTTGACATCCACATAATTTACTTTTGAAATGAAATGATTTCATTACATTCATTTCTATTTTCAGAAAATTAAAAATACTTTGAAATTTTTACAGCATCAATTTTTTTTTTTTTTTTTTTACCTAAAAGTTGACATGTGTAATGGGGTTGAGAAGGGATAGGTTTCATCTTATCACTCCAATAAAGGCTGGCATTTTTAGCTGATCTGGGTGGGTGCAAAGGGAACACTAAGGGTCCTTTGATTACTTAAATCACGTCAAAAGATGGTTCTATATCTAAGCCATATGATCTCTAATATAGAAACAAGAGAAAAGAACATAGAATATGGGGATGGCTCATGGCAGGTGATTATGGTGACTGTGATAATGTAAAGAAAAACAATAAAGAGAAAAAGTTAAATCTTTCTTTTTTTCTTGTTTTCAACAGAAACTGGACTCTTAAAAACATTTACAAATGGCAACCATTAACAGAGGAAAAATATCTTTTGCACATTTGGGAACTCCATGAAAAAATGATGATTATAACCAATTCCTCAAACTATTCAAGAAAATACATTAATGCTTCAAGGATATAAATTTAAATTTGAATGGACATACTACAGAAATCCTAATAAAACTTTCAAACTTGTTGCAATATTAGTAAAATTATTCTAATGAATATATACGGTCAGGATTATTTAGAAATGTTTGGTTGATCCCTTGTATGTATTTGACCTAGTAACTTAATACCTATTATAATTACTTTAATATAGCAGCATGGAACGTCCTGCTACTGGAGTAGATTTAGTAATACAAAAATAATGAAAACATGACCACTTTTTTCCCTACAACTGATATTAAAATTGTTTTAAATTAGCTCATCATTACAAACTAGCAATTACACACTTTCCTAAGAAAACTTCTTCATCTCATTAACTTGGATAGTAGAAGTGGGAGTGGGAATAAGCAACACTCACACAGGCTTATGAATCTTCACCCTTCTCATGTCAGCTTCTGAACTGTGAATATGCAGCAGAAAAATGGTTACAATCTTCTTTTTTAAGTTTCCTTTGCTTTTAGTCCTTTCAGTGAAAGAAGTGAACAGCAGTCCTGGATTGACTAAAAACTGAATTACCTGGCTCTGAGGATGTTATTAGAATTTTCTCAAATATTTTAAGATGCCTAAGTTCTAGTAATTTATTAGTTAAAATACTGACTTATAACATACACATACAAGACTTGCCACTTTAAAACAGAAAAGGGCGAGAAGGGACATGAAACTTCACTTAAAAGACAATACAAAGCAATTAAGTTAATTCATCTTTAAATTTAAACTTTAACTTATTTATCTGTAATAGAATCAAAATCATGAATAGAAAGATCTTGGATCAGGATCTTAACTGAAAATGACAATGTCTTAGTAATTTAGATTTCATCATTTGAAGAAGGAAATGTAAATATCTTAACAATTTTTATTTGCAGTCTCAAAAATGGGAATGAGTCACCGTAAGTTTAGAACTGTTTAGCAACTTTCAAGTTGACCAATTAATTTTGTCACCTCTACTTTTTCACCTCTACTTTTTCACAATAAAAACATGGTATGTTTTTACTCAGCTGTTAAAATAACCATAGTGCATTTAACTGTGTGTAAATACTACATCTACTCCTATTAACAAACATTCCATGGCAGAGTGCAAATGTTCCTCATGAATAGACTCTTGCTCAGCTTTCTAGCTTCTCCTCCTGACTCCGCATCTACCTACCACATGTCCATGCATCCAGTCTACTTTTCCCAGAACGTACATAGCCCTTCCAACAGCCTCTCCTTGAAATCTTCTTTACTCCATGTATAGGAATGAGTTCCAATGACGTTACAACGTCAAGTCCCCAGTTCCCACAGTGCTTCACGCATCCTTCCAGTACTGCACTTATCAAAACACAGCAATTATTTTTGACCTGTGTCCCTCCCTTATCCTTCATCTGCGTATATTCAACATTTAGTTACGTAATGTTCCTAATACCATACCAATAAAGACTTTAAGGGTATTCTTTTTCTTTTAATATCCTTTTTAAAAAAACAGGTAAGAGTTGAGGGAAACAGCAGCGTGCACCAAAGGGTGACTTACTCCTTACAACAACCCAAGTATGTTACACATATATTTTTCTAAGATTAAAGTGATTAATTAGATCAAGGTCATTTTGAGACCTAAGCACAAAGGGTAGTAAAACAGCACAAACCGAAGATAACTAAAAATCTGGAATATGTGGATTTGAATTAAATAGAAAAGAGGAACTGCCCTTAAGAATGACTGTATGTTCATCAAACACTCAGCTTCATTTAGGCATTTAATTAAGCCATTTATTGCTTCAAATGTGTCACCATGAACATTTTAATACACATGCCACAGCAGTAAGGCCTCAATTTTCACCACCTATAAACTGTGAACCCACATTTGGATTTTTTGTGCCACCAATTTTACAAGTTTTGTACAACAAGAGTGAATGCCAAAAAGCTCCTTACACCTCTTGGTGTAAATGTCACAAAGCATATTAATAGTTGGCCATTTTTGTGATGAGGTAGCTCCATGTTTGGCCCATTTTGTAACTATGTCTCCCAGATAGTAATAATAATAGGTTCCACCCATTATGAAATAATTGTACAACTTTTTGTTTTATTTCTTTACATGTTGCATAAAATATTCAATGCTTGAGTTTAAAATTTGTCAAAATGTTTTCTGAGTGATTTGGTAACCAGTGGGACTCACACATTGAAAGGGGCTGTAGCAGCTGGAAATAGGGACGCTCCTGACTCTAACAAGGAACTTTCTCTTAAAATAAGGCTGCACATAAGGCTTTTTCCTTTGACCAATTACTATAAAATAAATGAATGTAGAATAGTCATTCTACATAATTAGATTAAACAATACCATTGAGCATCTCCAGGCAACATGCTAATAAGTTAATTGAATATTACCTTATACATAATATCTCATAAAGGCCTACAAAATCTCCATGAAAATAACTGAGTATCACTCATAAAGTCATGATACGCATATCATGAAATCGTGAGTACTCACAAATGAGCCTACTTAGTTTTACGGGCTGTCTAGTTCTAAAATCTGGCTATAGAAGCTCAAGATTATAGAACCTTAACGCTGAAAGAGACCTTTGAAATCTCCTCTCTAGTCCATATCCACTGGGTAGCATTGCATAGATTTTACATTTTTCTGAGTAAGTTCTAAGAGTGGTTTTGATTAAATAAGTGGTTTTGATTAAAGAAGAAATCTAATGAACTGGTTTCATATATAAAAGAAACAAAGTATTTTAAGTTTTAAGGGGTTTTTACCAACCCAAATCGATACACCTTAAAGCATACCTCCACTGTGTGAAATTGATCATTTAAACAGCACCTATAGAATAAAACCTTAAGAGTGCTTTATAGACATCCTACAGCCAGCATCACCCACAGGTCTCATAGATAGAAAGTATTTTATGATTTTATTCAATATTCAGCCTTTTAAAGTGGTTTCCTCAGAAAGTGGAATAAGGCCTGAGGTGATTCAAAATTTAAATTAGCCGCCAAACTAGTATGTGAAAGAATTAAAAATAAAGTTGAAGATTAAGTTCCCAACTAGAGGGTCTCTACTTAAGTTGCTTGTTTAAGTCACAACATTGATAGCCATTATTTTCGTTTTACCTGCTGTGACTGGACTTTTCTCATGTCACTAAGACTATGAGGAAAGCCAGAGAGGTTCTAGAAAAATACATTCTCATCTCATAGTACATTAAAAATCTTTCCCTTATTTTCACATCACAAATTCCAACACGATTAAAGAAATCACAGATTCCATAGCAGGCTGTGTCCTGGGGCCTCTGTCCTTTCTAAATCATGAAAACTGGGATTTCATTGGAATTAAGAAATATCCATTATTAAGTGTAAAGTATAAATACAAGTAATTTTTTAAAAACTTTATTTTAACACCTAATACAATTCCAATTTTAAGGATTACTTGCACAAAAAAATAAACACATTTGGTATAAAAATGTATCACTTTAACACCCTTTCCCCTTCAATCCCCCACCCCCCCATGAACTGCACTCTATCTGGATGCAGAAACATATAAAGACTAATGGCACAAATTAGTTTTTACCTACAGGAGTTTCTGTTTATGTACCCAAGTACTCTAGAGGACACCAGCCCACTTTATCACATAAACCATTTCCTTCAGCCTGCTGAATTTAGTTTCACAAAGAAACAAAGCTTATTATAAAGGCATTTTAAAAACCATTATCTTAAATTCTCTTTAGAAGCACTGACTTTTTTTTTTTTTGAGATCATTTATATACAGTGTTACATAACAGCTCTGGAGTACAGTACATGCAGCAGAACATACCTGTTGAATATAAAATACTTTTCTTAAAATCTTCATCGTTGGAATTCTTTGAAATCTAAATTATAGAATGCCCATAACTTTGAGAAAATGGTTGAGGAGTATAAATGTCTGCATATGTCGGGACACTGAAATAATCCAAGGCTAACTGGAATAATATTCATAGCACACCAGGAGTGCATAAATAATTTACTTACATTATTAAAACACAACCCATAAAATTCAAGTTCAAGATCTTACAGGATTGTCTGTAAATCCTTTAAGTGGTTGTCTGGAAATGCACTGTTTCTTCTTTCTCTTTTTTTCTTTTTTAAAGTCTTACATAAAATGTTTGCTGAGCCTTCTCTCTCCCTCAAGCGACCGTCTTCATTTGTGCCGACTGCCTCTTCTCTTCATGGCAGCAGTGCACTGCGGACAGTACCACTTTCCTTTTGGTGCTTCTGTCAATCCAACGCAGCCATAGTGGAACCATTCTATGGGGCACTAGAAAACAAAATTGCAAAGAGAGAGCTTTTGGTGCATCTCGGGGATAGAAAGTGTACTCAAGTACACCCAGTAGACTGAATATTATTCTTCGTACACATGGACACAGAATCCTCAGATCTGAAAGGTTATTTACAAATCATTTAGACCAACCAACAAACTTTGGAGAAAGGAAAATGGAGGCACCAAAAAATTAAGCATCTTTAACTGCTCTGAGGTTCATCTTCTCTAGGCCGTAATCCTAAATAATGAACTAAAGTTCATTAATTTTTATTAATTGCAGAGTAAACTGATACCAACTTTCAAGAATAAAGAGTAAGACCGGTCTCACAGGTAGAAAGTAGATGTATTTTATTCAATATTCAGCCTTATAAAATGGAATAAGGTTGTAGCTACAGACAGAGGAATAGCCTGGGATTCTGATCTGAGTATCTCTTCTCTAAACTGTAGAGAAAAACATTCTACCCTGTAACATATCAAGAGTCCTGCACTTCCACAGGAAATCAGTACTCAGAAGAGCACAGTGGAATCAGCAAGACTAGAAGAGTACGGGTAGAAATTTCATTCATGGCTTTGTTTGACAATGGTGTTCTTGAAGTGTCTGGGCAACACTGTTCTGCAGTGGTCACACATAGCCACAAGAGAATCAAAGGAGGAGAGGGAAGGATGGTCTTTCTGTGTAGGAACATGTTGTTGGGCCGCTGTCAGGTCAGGAAAGGACACACTTTATATCAAATCAACCCTTCTTAACCTTCAGGTTGTTTTAGAATTTAAAATTTGGTAATGTTAAAAGTTTTACAGGGCTCTCCCTGGTGGTGCAACGAGTCAAAGCATCACATTATGAAGCTCTTGGAAGCCACTGCAGCATGAGTTCAATCTCTTGCCAGGGAGTTGACCCACATGGTGCAGCAGACTTCTCCTGACCTGCCCGCTGCTCCCCTCAGCAGTGTACTTTGTCACTCTGCCTGATCTGCTCCCCACTCTGTGTGTGGTGAATCTTCTCACCCCCAAACCTTTGGTCTGTACCCTAGTTCTGTAAGCATAAATAAATAATTCTTAAAAAAAAAGTTTTATAGTCTCAAGATTCTGACATTACTGAGTAGTACTTGTACAGAATTCAGGAGAAAAGATGGAAAAGAGGGGTTGAGTTGCATGAAAATAAAGGGGGAAACTCTTTAGCATTCAATAAAAACAGATCTCTAAACAAAGTTAAACTTCCCAGAAAAGAAAGAGAAATGCCTTTCTTTCTTCTCTCTCTAATAGCAGAAGTGGCAGCTATCAGCCAACACCTGCAGAAGACAGCGGGAAATTCTGTACGTGAGAGTGGAAAATCACCTCAGATTAGATTCTCAACATTCTCACACTTCATCTTAGAATCCTGCTTCCTGAAAGAATGTATGGCTTGAAAACTCCAATTCTTCACTTGATAAATGTACTGGATTCTAGTAACATAATATTCTTTAACACGGGTAGGAGGTATTATTAATGTTTTACAATTATCTTTCGAGAAATGTAATCTGTACACAAAACCATAAAATACTTACATCTTGGTTATCACAGCCCACCATCTCACCATAGGATACCTAAAGAAAATAAAATATTTTTATTATGACTATAGAAAAGGTATTAAGTCTAAATTAATTGTTTGTGATACTGACAGAAAATAGAGGAAATGACACTGAAGAAACAATTGCACTGAGAAATAGGATAAATAGTTTATAGGCTTTTTTTTTTTCATAGACTTAAGGACACAGGCACAATGGAGGGAATAAAAAGAGTAAGAAAGTAAAAACTGTTATCCTTGCCATAGTTTTATTGTGCATTTATAGGCATGAGGCATGTACTGGACTTTTACCTGATTACAAATACAGTATCGTGGTTCATTTGGATCGTAAGTCCAGTCAACCTGGCTGTTTGAGTCAGATTCTGGTACTACTGTAGCTTGCTGAGAGATTTCTTGTACAACAGTTGATGATGAAGAACACGATGATAACGAGGAGGAAGAGGAGGAAGAAGATGACTGCTGGCTTGAAGATTTGTTGTTGTTTCTAAAAAACAGAATCAGTTTTATTTGTTCATCATCCAGAAAAAGTTACCTAAGAAAAATAACTCTTAAATAAGTGGCATGAAAGGAAATTACATCAAACACATAATGTTTAATATTAAGTTAAAATTGCTTGGATTTGAAGTAAACACGTGTAAAAGTAAAATGTTCACAATGGTTTTCATTTTTGCTTAAAACTTGTTTTCTGGAGAACAAAGGTATTTAAAGAAAAAATTCTTTTAATAATATTCTTTAAATCATTTTTTAATCAGTTACTATATACTTACCACTGACAAAGTGAAGGGATTACTTTTAAAATATTAGTTATGCCTACTTTACAGATTTTATCTGCAATAAAATCTAAAATACAAAGTATTTGATGCAAACGATCACAGCCCTCAGCCCACATGTGAAGACTTACATATATAAAATAGAACCAAGTACTGAAATTCACAAGTAATTTACCATTATCTGCTTACTAATCAAATTTTTATAATACAGAAATCTGTCACAAGTGGTTAACTTACATTTGGGTCATTAATACAAATTTTGAAAATACTTGACATTTGTTGAGTCATTCTGTATTGGTCATTCTTTCAGAGATTTACTCACAGAAAAATCAGTATATTGAAAATAAGCTATAGTGCAACTATTTCATAATTAATTCTTTTGGTCTAGTATTTGACCTTTTTATTAGGTCTCAAAGTCCAGCATATGTGGGTAAATGGAGCTGAATGCTGCTGCTAAATTTTCATATTTAAAATGCACACACTCACTGGGATTTTTCATAATTTCAAGTTTTGGGAAATAAGGCAAAAAACCAAGGTACACTGATGTTAGAATCAAAATGCAGACTGTTCAAAAAAAATTCCCAGCATATAATTTGTATTTTATGTATTAATTTACCTTGAAACATATGACAAAACAAAATATAAATGAAAAACAATTCCATAAAATGGTTTATTCTATGACTAAAGAAAGTAAAAGAAGTAACCTGTTAACAAAGCCAACTTACAGGTCTAGAAAAATTAAAAACACCCAATACTTTACTTTTTAGACTTCAACCATTCGAAGTATGTGAACAAAAACTGGTCTTCCCACCCCTCCAGCCTGAGTACGAGTCGCTCACAGAACCTGCCGGAGCGCAGTTGCAGCGCACCGCGCCCCCAGAGCAGAGCGCCCCCAGAGCAGAGCGCCACTGCGGCAGCGTAACTTACTTGCTCTTTCTCCCACTTCGAGAGTCGGCCGCTGAGGAGCTGGCATTCTGTGTCAACGTCGTCATGAGTGCCGAAGATGATGAATAGCCAGCTGTTTCCCTGGGCATTGAAAATTCTTTTCCCAACTGAAAGTCATTATTTTTAAACGCTTCATAACTGGCTTTTAAACTTGATGTTCTTCGTCCTTCTTTCATCTGAAATAAACGTTCATGGATACCATTAATATACATAAATATGTACATTTTCTTTTTCAAGTCTTGCTGATTACAGTATTATTTTGGCTTATTAAATATTGAGCCATTATTCTCATCATTATAATTTAAGCTACTTTATGTAAAGATGTAAACTCGTTTTTACAGTTATAATGTAGCTACAGGCTGGGTGACTAGGAAGATAAACTCCACAGGATAGGTAACTAGGAATATAAACTGTACAGAAGCAGACTCCAGGCAACCAAAGAAAAAGCGGTGGAACTGACAGGGAATGACGCACTACACTGGCAGGTGCAGAGATTGGAGTCAAGAACACGAGCCTTTGAGCAATTATGATAAGAAGGATCTGTGTGAAATTACACAAATCCATTTGTTTACTTTCCCTATCAATTAGGTATTCTCTATGTATTCATTTCATTAGACAAAATGCCAGATATCATAGAACTATGATATTAAAATAAAACTGTACAAAGAAAAAAAAAACACCTCTCTGTTCATATCTAGTTGTTTCTATATGCATTTGCTGAGGATTCTGACAGAAGGTTAATATCCTGTTTGCCAGTCTCTTCTCTTTACCTGCGCTGTAGCCTGCACTGCTTGAGCGGCTGCCATGGTAATTGCCCCTGCACCGGTGCCTGAAGATAACGAGCCAATATTATAGGATGCCAGAGGCTGAGAGGAGTTCACATTGTAAGCGCTGTTGGAAGAGGCTGTAGAATTATTATTTCGACAACCTGTGAAAAATTAAAAGAAACACAAATGGTTGGAGAAAACATGTTAGTGAGTTTAAAATACATTCTTTCCCAGCACAGATAAAATCATTAAATTTTATATTTTCGTGTTACTGTAAAATTTTCATGTCACATTTTTCCTTTTTCTCCTTTTTCCATGCATAGACTTTAACCAGTAAAGAACTAAGGATTCATTCATCCTGACTACTTCCATTTCACTTATTGTAACACAAACAAAAAAAGCAAACTATCATATTTAAGATAATAAACTCACCTAGTGTATTTTCCTTAGAGGCATCTGATGTAAGGGTAGACAGAAGAGCTTCAGATTTAAACTTCTTTTCAGGAATATGATCTGTTGTCGTGTGGTGAGAAGTTGGATTATATTTCCTTTCTGAATATAAATAAAGAATCCACATGTTTTTAAACTTTAGAGAACTAGGGACAAGGCTACTTACATCCAGTTATAAACTGGTACAGTTATCACCTAAGTCACTCATAGAATATATAGCATGTTATGCTTCCTTAGAAGACAGGACAAAAAGAACACTGTATCACATGTTACATAAGAGTAGATGACTCAAAATTTAAAAAACAGAACACTTCAGTAGTGATTTCTATCAGTACTGATTTCTATCAGTCAAATACTATGGTCTCATATACAGCATGAGGGGAATTTTGTTGTCAAAACATTATCTACAATTTAGGGAAGTTTTTCATCAACACTTTTCATGTTGCATTGATTTGTCAATAAAATGTGCTAACAGCTATACAGTCAGTTACTTCTCCTTTACTCACTAACTTCACCAATCACTTGAGACTTTATTATATGCCAAATAGTAGGCTGAGCACAGGAACAGCAAGGATTAAAAAGACAAAGAGCCCACCATCAAAGAGTTTATTGTTTATCCTGTTTATAGCTCTCCCTAGAGATAAGTTATCTGTAAGTAGAGAGCATATGCTGTGATTAGTTCTATACATTCTTCCCTTATGACTTCCTGGGAAAACATGGCAACCTGTTCTCAAATCAAATATACTTTTCCCAAATGAAGAAGTAATTGCAATGAAAAAAAAACTTATCTCACAAAATAGAAGGAAAGGCTATTTGAGTCTCAATTGGTTGTTTGAGGTAATAAAAGAAAATACACAGTAAATATTATGTCCTAACAATGTATGTCCAATTTTAGTTGCACTTAACCAAACTTACTTTCCACTGGAGTATGTGAATGAGCATGATGATTGTTCACTGGCTGTGAAGGAGTATCTAATTCCAAAGATCCTTAAAAAGAAGAGGCACCATTATACGTCACAGTGGAAGCTCACCCATCCATCAGCTATCAGCACTGTGTTCTCTTATCCAGCAGAGCACTGGCATGCTCTGATGCACATGCCTGTGCCATTTTACCCCAACATGTTAGAGGATCACCACTGCCAGTTTTACTCGAGCCAGTCCTCTAGCAGGCAGTAATCTACTTCTTAACGTTCATAGTAAGTACAAAACTACACCAGGCATGCTAATGTCTAATTAGGAAATTCATCACAATGGGTACTGCAAACATGGATGAACTTCAGTATTAGGTGAGGGGACTGACTATATGAAAAATTTTTTTTGATTACTAAAAAGACACATGATAATAAAGGTATCCTTAAAAGAAATCGATTTTGCTTGTGAAAAGTGAGCTATAGCCTCTATTGCCAAGCATTAAAATACTTTTAAAGAAATTTTCTGGGTTTATGTTGATCCCTTGAGACAAACTTATGGCAGGGGATAGGATGGAACCATTTTTATAACTTGATCCAATTTAGTTTCATATATCTGTGCCTAACATAGGATGCTTCATTAACCTTCCTGTAGTACTGAACAGGCCTGAGTTACCATTATTCACTGCTACTACAAGCATTGCAAAAAAGAAAAAAAAAATCAAAGCAGTTACAGATGAATTTATTTTTTTCAAAGCACTTACTAACCTTATAAATTCCATCCCACCCCTGACCAAATAAAAGTATCACAAACAAATCATATGATCATCTAAAGATATAGAGCTACTTCTGAATACCAAAACACAAGTATGGATTACAGGGTGGATCCTTGACTGGTTGCTTCTTGGTTGATTTCTAATGAGTATATAAACTGATCTATAACCTAACACTGTGAAGAAATCTTTCACCTATGTGTGGAAACAGAGATGTGTTCTTCTTGCTAAAATGAACTAAGGGGAAAAAAATTCTAGCAGTATCAGTCATCATATTGATTTGGTTCAACTAATATTGAGAGAATGCCAATACCAGGCTTTGCACCATGCTATCTGCTTTTATGTACATTACCTGCGGTTGGAAGAGATGCTAACTTAAAGAAACAGAGGGTATTTTGGGAAATCCATTTTGGGGTGGTCTCCTAAATTAAACCCAAGAAGTGATAAGTATAGGAAATCAAGTGGAGTCTTACAAAGAGATATTAAAATAGTTTCTTGCTGATAAGGGAAAGCTTAGGAAAGACATTTTCAAGAAAAAAGAAGGAGTGATATGGAACCAAACTGAAATTCTTGTAATACAGTTAGAGAAAAAGCCTTAATACAATTCTTAAGAAAAACTAACAATCTTCTTCAAAGTTTAAGTATATAAATAGGCAAAGCAAAGTCAATACATTTAATGACAGATGGTTAACTTATGTAGATGGTTATATTTCTTAAAACCTTTATTCTTACCGGTTACCTTGCTAGCATATATTCATATGATAAATGGAATGATGTAATATGCTATTTCATCAAGAGTGAGCGGATGATGTCATGTGTTATCTCTCTCAGAGTCTATGACCCACACAGCTCCACCTGCTGGATCAGAGTTCTCCAACCTGGTTGTAAACATCCACCGAAGTGCAGGATCTGGGAAGTCTCTGGGACAAGTGTTTCCTCAATGATTTGCACAAGTACTGTCCAAAATTGATGGAAAACTGTAAATTTTACTTACGCCTCTCTAATATTTCTGTAATTCCAGCATTATCAGCTTCCAGCTCCATTTTAAACTTAGCCAGTTCCTGATCCAGCTTTCTCAAGTGTCGATCTACCTGTTTCAAAGAAGATATAAGATAACCACCAAAATTTGGGACACTATTAAAGTGTCAGTTCAATGAGGAAACCTAAATCTGGTTCTCTTAGTGATTCTCCTTTATATTCTTCAACAAGTCAGGTTTGTAACCTATAAGAGCATTAGGCTAAACAATTTCCCAGTCCCTTTTATAAATCTTCAGATTTAGGAAACCAGATTCCCAATTTACTAGAAAATATTTGGAAGATATGGGACATGACAACTGCAACAAAACTGAACTCGGGATTTGAGGGGTGAAGATGTGCACTATGAAAACTTTCCGGCTTAAGTCCTCTCAGGGTACTATCCAGCTTAAGCCCAACTAGACTGCCACAACATAATCACTGCTGTTTAAAATGCAGTGAGGGCCCTCCACTGGCGCAACAGGTTAAAGCACAGCACTATGAAGTCACCGCACCCCTGCAGTGTGGGTTCAATCTCTGGCCAGGGAAGTGACCCACATGGCACCACAGACCTCTCCTGACCCGCCCACTGCACCCCTCAGCAGTGTTCCCACTGTCTCTGGTGTGTCTTCTCATCCCCTGCACCTCTGCCCTGTACCCCAGTTCTGTATACATAAATAAATAAATCTTAAATAAATCATCATAATAATAAATAACTGAAATGAGGAGTGGAAGATCCTGAACCTAAAATAAAGAGGTGACTATTTTTGATGCATACATTTCTCTAATGAGGAAAGTGGATCAATATACTTGTAGACATTTAGGAAAAGGATTGAAACAAAAGCAGTGTTTGGCCAGAATACCCATTTCTCAAAGAGCCTGTTTAAAATGGTTCTATTATAACATTAATGTCCTTGTTGACAAAAATTTACTTTCTCACTCACATAGAGATCGTGGACTGATTTTAGAAAACTGGCACTTCAAACTAGCAATAAGTTTGGATGTTATATTTAAGCTTAGTATTAAATACTTTCAATACTTTTTCAAATTTACTACTTTGATGCAAAACCAAAAAACACAAGATCTTTGAAAATATTAAAGTTGTACTATCAACACCTTTTTCAAACTCTAGTTTCCCACTAGATCACTGCCATAACTAAGAGAACTTTCTCACTAATAACAAACTGTCTACCATGTGTCATGAGGGCAAGAACTTAAAAAAAAGACATTCAATTGCATAATGTGTTTCTAAAGTGAGGGAGAAAAGTAGCAAAATAAATTTTGTATATGGTGTTAGGTGCCAGGTAATGTCCTTGCTACAGTAGTTTATCTTTTCTAGTTCTCATCCTAAGTTCAGGAGATAGATCATTTTATAAGTAAGGTACCTAAGACAAAGAAGAGTCAAGCAATACACCCAAAGTCAATAGCTAATGCACTATGGGAAGAAGATATAGCCTGGATTTATTTGTAATAAACTGCACCTCCCCCTTTATACCTAATATTGCTCTCTGAATTTGTACATGCAAGAGCCATCTATTTTTGAACACAGTAACAAATTCAAATTGAAAAAAAAAAAATACATTGTCATATTATTTTTTCTTTCCCATATTAAAAGCAGTCATTGGGGTGTTGGTTTGTGATTTTCCAATAATTTAAAACTCAATTTCACCTCCATCCTTACACACGAGTTGTTTTTCGGAACCAGGCAGAAGTTGTAATTACAAAATTTTAAATCTTTCAAAGTCACATATTATGGATGCTTGTTCCTATTCAAAGAACCTGCAGGTAATTGAACAGCCTTTAGTGGAACCATCTTCCAGTAATAAAGTGTGAACACAGACCTTAGGTACTGAAGAATATCTCTCCTACATTGTCAAAATTTAATCTCAAGGGAAATCAGAAAAAAACTTATTTAAATTCCAAGAGTACTTAAGTCAATGAAAATACTCCACCACCTTTCTTACCAATAATTATACTATTAATAAATATTGAGTGCCTATCATGTGCTTGGCACTTGGTTAAATGGAGACAAAAGAATAAAAGAATCCTGTCTTCCTAGAAATTTGAAGTTAACTGACATGTCAAGGTTTCTAAAAGGTGTTTTAACTTAAAAATAAGGTTTAAAAATATGTTCCTTGAATGTAATAAATAAGCAAGAATTAAGAATGGACAGAAGTGAGACTTCCTGGTGGCAAGGGGTAAAGTCTCAGTGTTATCAAGCTGTCTCCAGTCACTGTGGTATGAATTCAATCCCCCAGCAGAGAGGTGACCCACATGGCGCAGAGACCTCTCCTGCCTCCCTGCTGCTCCCCTCGGCAGTATATTTCAGTAGATCTACTTCTTCTGCTCCCCACTCTGTCTTTGGTGAATCCTCTAATCACTTGCACCTCTGGCCTACACCCCAGTTCTTATATGTATAAGTAAATAAGTAAAGTCTTAAAAAAAATGACCACAATTAGTATATAGAAGAAAATAGAACACTTGGCAGACACAAAAGAGATATGAATGAATTTGATAGTGAAGAATGGGCTGCCTTTAAATAGACAGAAACAAGGAATTATAACTACAGAACATACATATGGGAAGAAAATGGTGTTTTCAGAAAAAGATACAGTGTGGTCCTTAAGAAATATACAAAGTACAGAGAGTAGTAGTGTTAGAATCTGATGTTTTATTATATCTGAAAGTGTGGAAAATAATGAAATTTGCAAAGCCAGTTAACTCAGAAAAGAGCAAAGGGACCCAAAGAATAATCCTGAAACTAACCACATGAACAAAACCAAACCAGAAAAGCATTAAGCACATTGCAGCAGGCAGCTTTTGTAAGAGCTTTTAATCACTTTTATCTCCCAGTGTATAAATATCCTGAACAGATTAATATTATAAGCAATATTAGGTAATGAGAATTGTTTTTCTTAGATTCACCATTTCTGTAATAAACAAAATTAGGACTTAGAAAGTAAGTTGACCAGAAGATTTAACTCCAGCTATAAAGCATCAGGATACTCAAGTGAACTGAATTGAAATCTGTAACGCGCATTCCTTCTACCTACATGATTCTGTGTGAGTAAAGTACCTATTCTGATTAATTACCAAAAATCCCCAGATATCAGCCAGAATAAGAACCTAAGTTGCCCAAACCTCCATATACTTCTCACCCTGTAAGACTGATTTATAATTCTAAGCAGGGTACTGATCCAATTAAGAGATTTTGGCATTAGCCATAGATTCCTAACCACAAGGCTGACCAAAATCTAAATTATTGATGCTTTTCCACTTACTGGCAATAAATGCTAGTCACAAGTTTCCTTACTCCATAACCCCAGATCTTGTCTTATAGCCAAAAATCATTAAGAGCTTTGAATTTAAGTCTATTATACCTTTTCTGACCTTTTTTAGAGACAAAGGAAATTCTGTGACATATTTTTCTATATTCATGACCGTAAAGATATTTAAGTCATACTTAATACTCCTCTGTATGAACAAAAACCCTCATCCCTTTACATTTTTGCAGAATTGCAACCCTTTCTTTACCCCAGTTTTCAATATTCAAACTTTAAAACATGTCATTGGTAGAAACAACTGAACTAAATAAAACTTTTTAAGAGTTATGGCATAAAACACTATTAAATTCTAAAAATTTAGATATCTTGCTCAACCTTTCACAATGAACACCCAGTGTATGAGGTTCTAAGCTGAAATCCATAGCAATAAGAGAAAAACTTCTATGTGTGGAAAGACCTAAAAACGAAGAGTGAATTAGAGAAGAAAAGGGAACCATGAACGCAAACTATTTCTCTGATAAGTCATGAAAATGATTTCTTGTATCTTTGAATTATATTTAAGCTAGATGAAAATTTGATCCATCTTTATGCTGAATCAAATACTTGAGGCTTTAGCACATAAGCTACATCTAATCATCTTCCTAAAATCCAATAAGGAGAGGAGACAAATCAAAAGGTCAGACTCACATAATATATTTCCTTAATTAGAGGATCAGATGAAGAATTCTCAAATTTACTGATAAAATGTGGGCCTGAAATATAATCATCTCAAGAACAGGGCAGGATATAAAAAGGAAGCAAGTTCAAGGGCACTGAGCACTGTAAGAGGCTGCTAAAATCATTCAAGCATTAACGAAAAGTTCAAATTTTATCAGAGTGTACATAAATCAACTTTATTAGGTATTGTAATCTAACACAGCCTTATGACAGAGACATCTGGCTGAGGAACACAAATAAGTGTTTAATGACTTAGAATCAGGATTCTGGAAAGAAATTATTTTAATAGGATAGATTTTTTTTCCTGTTAGTCAAATTTCACTAAGGCAGCTACTAAAATAAATTATCAGATGGTACTGTGGAACCACTAATTCCACAATTTTTTCATCTGTTGACACGTATACAGTCAGGTTTCTTCCCTTAATAGATGAGGTAATCAGCACTGTCTGTCATGGGAATAAAAAAATGACCGATTTTTAAATATCTCATTAAAAAACAGTGCTATGAAATTCTCTGCTATCAAAAATACTGAGGGATGAACACAAACACAATTACATACTAAAACTGGTAGTATCTTAAAATTTATAAAAGAATATCAATAACATGCTTATTAAAAATTACTACTAATAATGTGTTTCGACCAAGGTATTGCAGTCTCCTGTAAGGTGTATTCCATTCTCAGTTTAAAATCCTTCACTGGCCTCCCACTGCTTCTAGAATAAAAATCACACTGCTCACTGGCTTCAGCCCCTGTACATTATGGGTCCTGCCAATCTCCTTTTATACCATGCTTCTACTCACTGCACCAACCACACTGGCCTCTTTCTGTTTCAGCAAGGCAAACTCCCTTCCACCTCAGATTTTATACTCAGCACATTATCTGCCTGAAATGTTCTTCTGAAGCACTTCACATGGCTGGCTCTTTCCTATTTTCTAGGTATACCACATTAAATTCGCCTTTTCACACTCTACTCATCCTGACCTAACTAATGATAATCTCCAAGAAGTCATTCTTTTTCTTTCTTTCCATAATGGTTATTTCCTTCACCATACTTACCAAAATCTAGAAGTGTGTA